TATATATATATATATATATATATATAACCCTTGCTAAGTGTACTGCATTGGGCTAACTGAGACTTGTCATAACACTTGCATTTTATTGCTCTCTTGTTGATTTTGATTGCTTCTATTGTCCTCATTTGTAAGTCGCTTTGGATAAAAGCTTCTGCTAAATGACTAAATGTAAATGCAATGTAAATAGATGTTTATATGTACTGGAAAACAAAAACAAAAATACTGAGGAAGATATTCATTTTTAACAAAGCATGTAATATTTAATGCCACGACTTTAAGAATTTAACACTTTCTGCTCTGATTTAAGAGCTTTTTCAGACTCGCAGAAACCCTGTTTTTTTGTTTTTTTTAACTAAATCTAAAAGAGTAACCAGACGTCGCTGTTTCAGTTGAACCCTGATGTTTTACTCTGACAGTGTGCGGTTAAATAAAGAACAAACTCCCTCACAAAGACACTGACGTCTCCACTGTGACCTCTTACAACATCTTCTACCAGCAAGTGCAGCTCTGAGGAGCTCTGGGAGCCGCTTTGGAAAATAGCAGCGAATCGATGGAGGAGCCGTTTGGAGCTGGAAGTGTGTCCGGCGTGGAGGTGAGTGGAGATGACAGGCTTCATTATCAGCAGAGCGGGAGTCCCTCAGGAGCGCTCCTGCTGCATGATGGGACAGTTTGCTGGAAAGGTCAAGAGCAGACAAATCAGCCCGGCAGAAAGCATCTTAAACTGCCCCTGATAGAGGCAGAGCTCAGAAACTCCTGTTTCACACTGCTCTGTGTCTATTAGATCATCACTGACGACCGAAAAAAATAAAAAACACTAGGCCTATATTTATCAGATGATTACCAATGATCAAATGCATCCTCCTCTAATGTTTAAAAGTGGCTTTTTTATATAATATTGCCAGCGTTGCATATTGATTGGTGTTTGAGCGCTAAAGTCTCTCCGCTGACAAGCGAATCATTTACAGATCTCATCTCAGTTTCTGCCGCATTGACGTCCCTGTAATGACACGTCTAACCCCGTGTAACTCTGACAATTATTACCCAGAGTCCTGCAGGTCTTTACAATTAGAGCTGGAATCATCACGCTGACGTGTCTGACAGATCAGATCAGACGTCTGTGCCGTTATTCTGCTTTGATTAATTCACAGTTAGTGGCAGACTCACATTTATACATTTTGATTAATGTTTAATTTTAGAAGTTTTACATACGCGGCCCACCAAAAGTCTGTTCTGCTAAGCAAGGCTTTTATTTGATCAAAAATGCAGTAAAATTGTGAAATATTATTAGAATTTAAAACAGCTGTTTTCTATGTGAATATCTGTTAAACTGTAATGTATTTCTGTGATGCGCAGCTGTATTTTCAGCATCATTACTCCAGTCTTCAGTGTCACATGATCTTCAGAAATCATTCTAATATGCTGATTTGCTGCTCAAGAAACATTTCTGATTATTATCAATGTTGAAACTGCGACACATTTTATTTTTCAGGATTCACAGATGAATAGAAAGTTCAAAAGAACAGCATTTATTTGAAATAGAAACAATTTGTAACATGTCTTTACTGTCACTTTTGATTAATTTAATGCATCCGTGATAAACAAAAGTGGTCATTTTCATATCCCAAACATTTGAATGGTAGTATATGATGGTTTCCGCAAAAATATTGTGCAGCACAATTGTTTTCAACATTGATAATAATCAGAAATATTTCTTGAACATAGCATATTAGAATGATTTCTGAAGATCATGTGACACTGAAGACTGGAGTAATGATGCTGAAAATACAGCTTTGATCACAGAAATAAATTACAGTTTAACAGATATTC